AGAGTGTGTGGGTGAACCGGTGGGTAGAACTCGGGTTTCCAAAAATGGTACAGTTGAATCTTCTGGAACCATCTTATGTTTCATAGTGGATGAGCCAAATTTGTATTGGACTGCTCTCTGTACCTGCTAGCCCATGTACCTGACAGCCCATGCTAGAAAGGAGCAGAGAGCCAGCAGTGGAACAGAGGATGCCTGATTCTCAGTATTTCTGTCCTATGTTTGTGTAAGCTGCTGTCAGTGTAAGTTGTTTCCCATTTAGGCAGTTCACATCAGAGATAACAGCTTACTACTTCTTTGGCTTAAACCGTAGTAGACTGTGCTGAGGATGTCAGATTTTTAGATTTTAGCCTTGCTTGATAACCAGTATGGATGGAAAGGTTCGTTATCTGCACTTGAGTCTGAAAGGGACCTACTGGCTCACTGAGTCTAGTCTCCTATTTCAGGCAACCAAATCACATAATTACAATCAGAAACTCTTCCAGCTCTGTCTTAAAACTAGTTGAGTGAGTTTATAAAGCTGTTCCAGAACCTCACTTGAATGATAAGAAGCCTTTCAATATCTGGACAAAAGGTATTAGTGGCCAGTACATAACCATTTTTTTTTGTGTCAGCACTGCCCTTTAGTGTAAATAGGTAGGGCTGTGCGAAACAGCTGTGTTTCGATTCGGTTTCGGATTCAGCTGTTTCGGATGGTGATTCGTTTCAGTGTTTCAGATCACTGTCCTATTTCATTTCAACCCCATCTTTTTTAAGGCCCGAAGCACCTCCGAATCTGTTTTGAACGGGCTGCAAGGGAAGCTTCGCACAGCCCTACCCAGCTGAGCGGGACTTCAGGTCTAGGGCTGCAGGGCCCCAGCGAGGAGCAGGACAGGGCTGTGGGTGCCTTGTCCGCGGGAGGGGGAGGGTTGCTGCTCTATGTTCAGGCAAGGCGACCTCCGCACAGATCTCTGATCCCTGTCATGCCGGGTTGCAGGGCAGGGAAGCAGCGCAGAGTGGTGAGCAAGCCTACTGGTCCCTGCCACGTGACTCAGCTCCACATGGAGCAGAGATCCACACTAGGGGTCTCCTCACTGCCTGCCCTGCACTGTCCTGGCAACGTGGGTGGGGCTGCACGGGCGGGGAGGGGCGGCAAGGAGACCCCGGTGTGAATTTCTGCTCCCTGCGGAGCCAGGTTGCATGGGAGGGTTTCCCCAGCCCCCAGTTTGATTCCCCAGCTCTCTGATCATTCCCCCAGCTCTTCCTGGGGGGGCACGGGTCCCCGGATCTGCGCACCAGGTTTCAGCAGGCTGCAGTGCTGCCGCTGGCCCCAGGTTGCAGCGACAGTCTTCCCGGTGCAGGTTGTGCCAATTGGCTGCCACTGGCCCCAGCCTGCAATGGCAGCCTGCTAAAACCCCGTGCGCAGATTGGGGGCCTGCACCTCCCAGGAAGAGCTGAGGGAAGCGATCAGAGAGCTGGGGAATTAAACCGGGAGCTAGATGTCAAGATCAGCAGCCCTTCTTCCCCCTCTTTCCCCTCCCTCTTAGTTTTTATTTCCCTGCAAGCCCGGTTCCGAAACTCCGAAATTCTCAGAAACATTTCCGAAATGTTTCAGAGCCTTCCAATTCGTTTCAGAGCTGTTTTGGAGCCTTCCATTTCAATTCAGATTCAGTGTTTCGAGCACCAGAACAGCCTGAAACACCTCTAAAATGAAATTGCTGCCAAAATTTCTCACAGCCTATAAATAGGTCTTTTCCCTCCTTAGCATTTATAATGTATGAAATTTTCACAAAAAGAAATCTTACATTTCTACATGCTTGAATTTCTGGATGCTTTCAGTTCAGTTCTTTTTATTTAAGCCTAAGAAATGACATGCGCACAAACTACGCAAAAAGAATATTACAACTGCAAAGTCAAGCATACAGCTGTTAGTAAATGACAGAACTTACATTATCTATGCAACTTTAATTCACTGCATATGTGTATACATTTGATACAGTCTTTAATTACTTGAACACAGTTTTTCCAAAGTGCAGCTACCGGTAACCGCCGCCTCCTCTCCCCCGCCCCCCCCCCCCCCCCCCCCCTTTTGGTGTACAAGATGAAACTGCTTTGTAGCTACATGCCTTTAACAATGCATCTCAAGGAAGACCCAGGGTGTTATCCTCCTGCTGTACTCAGCCTTAATGAGGCTGCAGCTGAATTACTGCATCCAATTCTGGACTCCACAATTTAGGAAGGATGTGGAGAAGCTGAACGTCCAGAGGAGAGCCACACACATTATCAGAATGCAAGAGAACAGCCCTTATGAAGACAAGCTGTGAGTTACGGTACTCTTCAGCCTGGAGAATCGCAGGCTGAAAGGTGATATGGTGGCAGCCTATAAGTACGTAAGGGGTGTGCATCAGGATCTGGGGGAACACCTGTTCACCAGAGTACCCCAGGGGATGACAAGGTCAAGTGGTCACAAACTCCTGCAAGACTGCTTTATGCTGGACATGAGGAAAAACTTCTTTACTGTCCGAGCCCCCAAGGCCTGGAACAGACTCCTCCCAGAGGTGGTGCAAGCACCTACTCTGGACACTTTCAGGAAACATTTGGACGCTTATCTTGCTAGGATCCTTTGATCCTAGCTGACTTCCTGCCCCTTGGGTAGGGAGCTGGCCTTGATGTTCTTACGAGGTCCATTCCACGTCTGTGAAATCTATTCAATCTACCTCAGGGTTATATACTGTACATTAGCTTTTGTCCATAAGACCCTTGCCTTATACACTGCAGAATTTGGAAGATGTGTAGTGAATAAGGGAGGAGACTAGAAGAAGAAAGATGGTTTTATGATTAAGGCTGTTGAAAAGTGCCCTGGAAAACTGGATCCTATTCCTGCCACAGTGTTTCTGTGTGGTGTTACTCAAACCTTTTAACTTTCATAAGTTGCAATAGTGTTGTTTGTAATATGAGTGGTTAATTTAGGGAAGCTGAGGTCTCATTTGCAAAGTTAATGAGCACACCCAACTACAGGTGAAGCCAGTAGAAGTAATTTGAATGTATAAAGTATTATAACAATACTTAGTACTTTGAAAAATCAGCCCATGTATCTCAAGCTAAGCATCAAAAACTTAGTGGACATATTTATTAATCTTGAACTTTCTCTGCTTTAGATCTCCATCTGTCTGTTTTAGATCTCCATCTGTAAAATTGGGATAATAGCATCTGACCTCATGGAGCGTTGCTAAGATGCCTTCATTAATGTCTGTGAAGGACTTAGATGCTGTGGTAATGAATGTTGTATGAAAGCTCACAAGAAGGTTAACACTTTTGTATTCAGTATAAAGTTTGGATGGTGCGTAGTAAATAAGGCATCAGACCATACAGTGAACCAGGAAGATAAAAAAATATGAGTAGCTGTCTGTTCCCTGAGCACCATATTGTACATTTTGAGAGGCAGGGGTCTCTTCCGGTAAAGATTGTATGCGAGTCTGTATCATAATGTGAGTGCAGGAGGGGTTTGAATTAAAAATGCACAGGCCCTTGATTTCTTTCATTTCCTAACTTTGGTATGCTTGGCATTACATGCATGACCTATTACTATAGAACTGCTGTATTTAATACACATATACTTTATAAATGCCATTTGAACAGAAGCATGGAACTCCCCAAAGTCACACCTCCTAAGTTTTTAATGTCACTGTGGGCTGCAGTCTTTAATGGGTAGATCTACTGCCTTCAACTTAATATAGCAAAATATAAAGCACTGCTTTCTATGATCTCTTCTATGATCTAAAATGTCTGCATTTAGGGTTTGTATGAAGACCACTTTTATTCAGTTTATAAATTAAGAACAAAACAAACAGTGCCTGTCCCAGGGTCCAGATGCCTTTAACAAACATTAAACACAAATCTGACTCCTCCCTAAAACTGAACAATGATGTTATCCCTAACATAAATCTTGGTTTTCCATTTTACGTACTTTGTTTGACTTTGTAGTTGGTTTGATCCTGTTTCTTTCTTTGCTTCAGCTCCAGAGGCTTCTCTGGCCCGGAACAATGTTACTGTGGGCACTGGGCAGGCCTGGATGAGAAGAGAACAGCTTCCACTTGAAAAACCATACATATTTAAAGAATCAACAAAGGTAAGATTTTAGATAAGTTTTCAGTAGTGTCTTATGATGTACTGATGTGCTAAAGAAAGACTGCTTTAAGAAGTGGTTCCCCTTAGAGGTGGTAGGCCAAAAATAAAATAGCTCATCCCAAGTTTTTGAGACTTTGCAGATGTACTGTACCTGTGGCTTACTGAAGGCTTCATGGGTTCTAAACACTGATTTTATTTCTCTCCTTCCCCCTCCCCTCCCACCCCCCCCAAAAAAAAACCCAAAAAAAGCAAAAGTCTCAGGAAGGATTTGAGTTCTGCTTTTCACTCCCTTGGTTAGGGACACAACATTGGCAGGAAAAGCAGCCGCTGAACTGTTGAGGGAGAAACGTGGGATCCAAGTTGCAACCTTTGTTCTTTAATCCCTTGGCAGACCAAAGAGTAAGGTGCTCACAGAAGCAGGACGCGAGTTCCTTATGTATCCTTGCATTCCTTAGTATTAGAGCTTGGTGGATCAGTTCCAGACTAGGAATTCTTCAGAGACACTGTGATTCCATGGGAGTTTTTCCTCATAATAGTACCAGTGTGCTGTTTATGGGACTACATATATACAATGATACACTGTGCTGGGTGTTTTCCAAACAGTGACATTTTACATGAGGGACAGAGGAAAGGAAGCATGTCCTGCTGGGAGAACTGCACTGATTATCAGGACAGCTGGCTGATGATTTCTGCTATAAGCCCCAGTCATTCCCTCCTCCCTGTTTTAATGCAGTGCTGAAGATAAAACAGATTCACTCTGAGTGGTATTTCAGTACTGAGGGACTGGTAGCAGGAGTAAGATCTAGGCCATTCTAAAAGCATAGGCATCAACATCATCACCACTTAGCTGAGAATTAACCTGTCAGTTGTTTTATATTTAGAGGTGGTCTTCTTACTGCCTTTCAGATGGAACGCAAAGCTCCAGAAACTCGAGTGATAGAGTGAGTATAATACTGGCTTCACTATCTTCGTTGTGGTGGATTCTCCTTCAATGGCCTGTGGTAAGACAGAGTTGAAGGATGTTCTTCATTTGTAATTGCTAGAACTGTGGGGAGAATTTTCAGTACAAAATATGACATCCAGTTTCTTGAGCTTTGGGCCTCACACCGATATTCTATGTGGTGGAGTTAAAGGGTGTTACGTTTGTTTTACTGTGTTCATATGAACCAGGAAGAAAGAATAGCTGGGTTTTGTGAGGTTAAGTTGTGAGACAAGTTACACTCGGTGCCTTTAGAGCTGCACATTGATGATAAAGTTGCACACAGAACTATCTTCCACCCTCTTTATTCTTTTGCTGTCACAAGCCTGAAGCACAGACACAAAACAACATTGCAACACCTGCTGTTAGGCTGGGTGTATTTGGAGGCTTCCATTGGAAGATTATAATCCCAAATTCAGATGTGGTGTCTCCAGGTGCTCTGCCTTTCATTCAGAGTGAGAGCTAGACCAGCAGCCTGTTTAACGCATTGGTCAGATTGTTAATGTTGGTGGTAAGGATGAGATCATTAGTCGTAAATTTAATAAATTTATGCTGCCATGTGTTTATTGTCAACTTTCCTTTTATTAACATTTTATCCGGAATAATTCCTGGTATAAACTATACCAGAAATTGCCAATCGAAATCCAAGACGTCTTGATATTAGAGCAGCTGCAGAGGCAGTCAGAATTCAAGCAACCCTACATATAAGTCAAGTTCAGGAATGGCAAGTCAAACACCGTCTACCATGAGGGCTGAAGAACTGCTGTAACTGTTAGTGAATATTGCTGACTGATAATGAAGTTGGGTGTTTATGTGCTTTGGACTGTTGATCACCTTAAAATATGAGACAGATTTGTTTCCTGGTATACTTAGACCTATGTGTATTTGAGCGTGTTCTCCTCAGATTTGTTTCATGTCTGACTATACTGAAAGAATATCCTTAATGCTCAGTTCACCAGAAATAATTTTCAGATTCAGTTTGTAAAACATTGGCAGTTGTTCCATATTTCTTACAAAATGTTTCAATTTCCTGGTTGGAGAGTATTTTCTCTGCACTTTAAGGACAATACTAAAATAGGAATTCGTGAATTGGAGATCACAGCCCAGAGTACACAGGTGACCTTATGTTCCTAAGTGTGGTTGGGAAAATAATTCTACTTAATGTGCAGGCAGTTTTCTGTCCAAGTTTGCTGCAAAATCATTGCTTTGGGAATTTACTAAGTAGTGTTTCACCAGAGGCACTTATGGAAACTGCAGTAAAACGAGATATTTTCAGTCTGTTTATCAAAGCTTCTCAGTTTCTGTTTCAGAGCAGGGACAATAACATCATAAAGCCAGGAAGATACAGCTGTATTCAGAGCACCTTTGTACACGCAGTATTTTAAAAAGTGTGTTAACGACTCATAGGCTGCAGTGCTGAACAGATCTTACAGGGTTACTTTAAACATGTTAAAACATGTTCTGAATGCAACATTCAGCACTTATTTCCTACAATGTTACTTTTTTCACCACCATATAGGCAGGCTTATAGGCCATCCTCTCTGTGCAGTAATTGTGCAGCACAGATAAAAGCCCCTGTCCTGAAGAGTTTACATTTGAAAACCGGAGCATGAGCTAGTTGGCAAATAAAAGACCTGGGAGTCAAGAGAGTTAGATTCTATTCTATGTTCTATTGCTGACTTACTCTCTAGCTTTGGGCAAGTGTCCTCAGTTCTCTTTGCTTCATTCTCTTCTTTGTAAAATGAGGATGATGATATCTACCTCAAAGGAAGCTTAATTAATAATTTTAAAATATTCTGATTCTTGGATAGCAAGTGTTCTAGGATTTCACTTTTACTTAGTAGGAAAGGCATTAGCAGATACAACATAAATCAGCACTACCAGAGAATGTGAATATAAAATTAAAAATGGAAGGAATGCCTTGCAGCGGAGGTGGGTTCAGGGAAGAGGGCTGGTAGGTGTCGCTGGGCTAAGAGGCTGTTCTAGGCGAATGAGACAGCATGTGGCAGGAAACAAAGGCAGCAGTCAGGAGAGAAGCTCAGGCTAATCTTTGAAAGGCAAATACTAGTATTTCTCAGCCATGCACCTGGCAACTGACGAAACACATTTTATCCTGTGTACCACCTATAGCAGTTAAATATTGTTTTCAAATATGTGGCATGGAGCACTTCCTATAACATGGTATTTATTTTGCTGTGCTAGCTAAAATGAGGGTGGCAGCCTTCTGATCTTTTTCTGACAAAATCAGGCTATATATGACTGTAGTACAGGTTTCCCTCGATTTATGCGGGTTCTTTATATGCAAATTTGATCTTATGCGATGAGCATATTTAGACCTATAATTCATTATATGCAAGGTAAATTCACTCTTATGCGATAAGCATAGATGCCCGCCTCCTGCCCAAGCAGGTAAGTCTGTGGGGGGGAGGGGAAAGGGCTGTGGCCCCACTCACCCCAGCCCTGGCTGCAGCGGCCCCGGGAGTCGCCAGCCCCAGCTGCCTGCAGCCCTTGTGCTGCACTGTAATCCATCGGTCGTCTGTGTCCCCCCCCCGGGCTGTTTGTCTGCTCTCACCTCTGCTCCTGGGCTGTACTGTGCCCTGGTGCAGGCAGCTGGTGTCAGCTGCTCCCGGGCCCACTTCAACATGGGCTGGGGTGAGTGCCACGCAGCCTGGGGCTCCACTTGTCTGCACTCACCACACCCCATGCTGGAGTGGCTCTAGGAGCAGCCAACGCCAGCTGCCTGCACCATGGCACAGTGCAACCCAGCAGCTACAGGCGGCTGGCATTGGTCTCTCCTGGGGCCGCTGCAGCTGGGGCTGGGGTGAATGCCGCTCTGTTCTCTCTGCTTTGCTGCCTTATGTAGCCCCAGGAGCGGCAGCCCTCCCCCCGCCCCTTCCCTAGTCCCAGCCTCCCTCCCTCCCTCCCTCACCACCATGCGAACCTATCCCTATTTGTTACATTGTAAAGTGGGTTCACTTTATGTGAATTAAATTTATGCACTGTTCTCCGAGAATGTATGTACCACATAAATTGAGGGAAACCTGTATGTAGTTGAAAGAAATATGGGACCCTTGTTACTGTCTCTGGAGCCCATGAGGCTTATGTGGAGCATTAGGCCAGTAGGGAATATTTCACAGACAATGCGATTAGGCCAGCTGAGGTTTGAGTTTAATAGGTCAGGCAACAGACTACTTCAGAGATATCTCTGACATTCTTCTTCTTCCTGGTCCGTATAGTTATTACACGGTCCTTAGACTACCATCCCTAACCTAAGCTTGCATATGATTCTAAATGATACCTAGGCATACATTAGTATCATTAGTTGTATTTTATTCATCTTATAGTTATTTGTTGTCCATGTCCTCAGCAAACAGGGCCTCTATGAGATCAGCACGTCACCAACAGGAGCGTCTCGGTAAGTGAGTTAGATTTTTTTTTCCAGTGGTTTGGTTGCTGCAGAGTAATGCAGTGACGGTTTTCTGAAAACCACGGTCATTTGGGATTTTGGTTCTGGTGCGGATATTTTTCCTCTATTGCATACTTTATGTAAGTTGGCTTCGGAGGGAAATTTGCCTGCTGATGCATCAATCAGCAGTGATGTGGTTAATTCTGGGCAGCTGGAAAGAAGTTAAGATTCCATTGCTGCTGCGGGTAAAAGTGAACCTATACAGATGAACTGCACTTATTGCTTCTAATGTTGTCCCCTATAGTAGAAAAGTGACCCTGTCCTCTTGGTAGGGCAACCCTCATGGTGTGCAACCACTTTTTAACTACATTAATCCCTGCATGATCTTGGAATCACCACAATTGTGCTGTTTCTTGGAACAGAATTCCCAGTGGTGCATGGCATTTTCCCATTACTGGGGTAGCACTTCCTTCTGACCTGATTATCTAATGCAGACCATGAAAGAATACATCAGTCTGCCAGTAAGAAAGTCTGATTTGGTCTAAATGCTGGCCAGGAGCATTTCCTGACTAGGAAAGGCCAGCTGGTAGCATTGCGGTTCAGGATACCTGCTATCTTCAGCTAGAGAAAACCAGTTAAGCTGAGGCCATCTTTACTGTTCCAGAGAGTAGTAAAGCTTTTTCAGGTATTTACTACTTTTAGATTTTGTTTTCCTAAGTCCATGGTGTCCAAACTTCCAGCCCTGAAGACTGGATGAGTGGTGTAGGGTTAGTCCATGGCTAGATAACCGCCCCCTTCACCTGTATGGGGTTGGCCCACATGTGTAACCCCATGTGCGCACATCCAGCTGGCCCACCCAGCTCCTCACTGGTCCAGAAACTTGGCAGCAGGAGAGCATCAATTAACAGTGCTACCACTCCCCTGCTGCCATTTTTCTGGACCTGTAGGCAGCCCTGCAGGCCAGATGACAGCTCCACAGGCCAGAGGTTAAGCACCACTATCCTAAGCAAATGCTTCACAAAGGTTATTCCTAAAACACCCATTTCTTTAAAACCTGTTTCTGTGTAATTTATAAAGAATGTCTTGAGATTTGTCCTTTCCTCATTAGGTAAAGATTTGGGAGCAATAGGACAGTAATGCTTTGTGCCTTTACTGAATATGTGAGAGGCATGTTGTAGCCATGAAGGTCCAGAAATTATGTGAGGGGCAAGGATTTCTCAGGATGACATCTTTTGTTGAACTGATTGTGCTGTTACTGATTCTCATTTATTGCATGAGTTTTTTGCTGGGAGAGTGAAGACAACTGTGCTTTCTTCTGTCTGAACATTAGAGGTCTAATTCTGCTTAACTTTTTCTCCTTGTCCATCCTTGTCCAAATTGCGACCCAGTGATTTACTACCGTGCAGTGTAACTAAGTGGGAACAACTGGGGCAACAGTCCTAGGTGCCACCTTTGTGGCAGAAAGCACAAACATAGTCACTGCTGCAGCGGCAGCTGACCATGCTATCTCTCACCAGCACTGCCCTGAGTATGGACCTATCCTGCTGTGCCTCTAGTGACCTAATAGGGAAGCCAGACTCTTTTCTCCAAACTGGTGCGTTTTGTGGGAGAATTTGTCCATTCTTCATCCGTAGACTTTGCTGCATCATACAGTCAAAAGAAAAGAGGCTAAAGATGTTTAACTTGCTTGAAAATACTGGAAACACAAGCAAGGGATAGGCGCTGATTCATCAAAAGTATTATGTATATGCTTCATTTTAAGCACACAAGCAGCCCTTTGGTTTAATTGCTTTGTTGGATCAAAGCCTAAAATGTTACTGCTTCAATACACTTGATAACCAAAAGCTGCTAGTTTTGTAACTGCCTCTAAGTAAAGGGTGCTTTCTGTCCCATTGCCCAACCAGAAGCAGAAGCGCACAAAATCACTGGTCACTTTTGGAAATCTTGGCCTATTCCTTCAAGAAGTATAACTGCATTTAAATGCAGTCCCACATTATCTGCTGACACTGCACTAGTAACCCTTGATATTAGAGGATTTCACCAAATCTAAGTCTAGAAACAGTGTATGTTGCTTTCTTTCTCCCTTTAATCTGCAACTATTCTATACTAGCATTAATTTGATTCCTGGATTTATTGACTCCAAAGAAGCAGACTGGATGTTTGAGCAGCTCCTTCAAGAGATACCTTGGGGGCAGAGAACTCATATTAGACAGGGTAAGTGCGCCATGGTTCTTAAGGTCTCTTATCTCCACTCCTGCTGTGCCACAGTCCTTGGGTTTGCCGTTCACTGGGATTAATTCTTCCCACTTCTTCCCTGCCCCATTTCAGTTTTTCAGATTCATGCCTAAAATAATGCTGCCCAATTTCAGATATCTAATGAAGCATAACTTTTTTGCCTTACTTGCAAGCAGTGCTCTGAGTCCTAAAAGAAAGGGAAAATTGTCCTCTATTTTTTTTAATCCTCTGTGAATTTGAATCTGCGGCCCCCCCCTCAGTTATCTTCTTCCTGCCTCCTAAATTTCACTCTTCCTTCTGCCTCCTAACATTCATCTCTGTTTGGTCCCTTCAGTCTCTTGACTGATGTTGCCAGAACCTCATTCTTTCTATATCCTGCCTTCCTATAATAGTTTCCCTCTAACCACTGCATCATCTCTCTCACTTACATAGATTCTCAGCAAATTTCTCTTCTCCCTTGTCTTTTCTTATTCAGGTTTCTTTTTCTGCTAAACTAATAATTTTCTCAAGTGTTTTGATTGTAGTTTTTATATAAAAGTCTTTCTCAACATTTTATTTAATCCAAGGCACAGCTGAGTTTGCAGTCAGCAGATGAAGCACCTGTTGTTCCAGTTTTGTTCACTAAGGGGCACCCATGTTATTTCATAGCCTCTGTTCCTTAGTGCTGGGTATCAGATTATTAAGATTATCTAGCTGGTATAGAAGAGGCACAGAGAACACTGTTCTTAGTGCTGTCAAATGCTTCATGCAAACCTGCTCAAATTTTGCCTTTATTGAGCTGCAAGAGTGAATGCAGATTGGAAAGTGATGCCTGTGAAATCCAGGAAATAGCCATTGGGCTAATTCTGCCTCAGTTTGAAAGTGTTTTTACCATGCTTCAGAAGTACACCATTACCAGAGATGTACTAATCTGGCCTGGCTGCATACCTTAAACTGTCTCACTCTTGCTGCTACCGTATCATTCTTCCCTAAAACTGATGCTAGTATATTTAAGCAGCAGTGTATGAAAGCAAAACAACCCAGAACCACAACTGAGAGTCCATGTTGGCCTCACCATAGAGGCTGTCACAATAGGTTGGCCTGCTGGGGTCAGATATTAGGCTGAGAAACTGAATATATCTATACGGGCCTAGGAATTAATTTAATTGAGATTTGAGAAATTTTACCTTGGATCCCACACATTGCATGACCTGCTGTGCACGTGTGGCATGGTAGGGAATGCTGTTTTTGGTATCTGGGATAAAGTTCCTCAGATTCCATTGCACATCTGACTGTGCAGAGGATCTTTCCTCACGCATGGACTTTTAAAATGCTTGCTGGCAAGCCTGACATTATGGAAGCAGTTCCACAGTGCTGGGCTGCATGGCGCACCTTTTCAACTCACTGGGCTGCATGTGTGTGTGCAGAACCCTAGATCAGGGGAGCAACTCCCCTGTTTTAGGCTTCTGTTCTGGGAGCTTCGTGCTACGCGTTCAAATTAAAGTGTGGTACAAACCAGCCACAACGATGTTTCACATCAAATGTTCATGTTATAAATTGCTTGCACATGTAGCATGTTACAATTTATGGCGTGATTAACATGTTAATCATGCCATAAATATAACACCTGCCAGGGCCTAAGGTTTGGATCCCATTCAGAGATGTAAGAGCAGGTCTGCATATCCTTGTTCTAGTGACTGCTCTTTGTAGATTTGAAGTGATTTGTTAGGCTTCACCTTTTAATTTTGAATGAGTTATTGGTTTTTTGACTGTCACCTGCAAGAAACTTCTTCACAGGTCTGTACTTTCACTTCCCTGCCTGCTTAATATTAGAGTTGTGAAATCTTCCAATTTTTCTTTATCTAGACCTGTCTTTTGAGGAGCCCAGGCTTACATCTTGGTATGGGGAGCTTCCTTACACTTACTCCAGATTAACGATGAACCCAAATCCACATGTACGTATTAATTCACTTGTGACTTATTACCAGCAAAAAAGCTTTTAAAAAAACCTGTTGACAAACCTTTTCTTGGTGATCTGATTTATGATCACCAGAGGAGGCCAGTGCCATGCCTAAAACTCCACAAAGGAAGTATTATTCCTGAACATATGCAGCCCTATAAAAAAAAAAAGCATTCAGAGGAGCATAAACTAATGGTTAGAAGGAAGGGCCTGGGAGTTATCAGTCCTGAGGTCTGTCCCCTTGTTCTGCTGTGGAGAGACCATATGACTTTGGGCAGATCTTTTAACCTCTGTGCGCTTGGTTTTATCCATCTTTTTATCCAGCTTTATGATGGTTATTATGTGACTTCATTGCATCATATGGTTATTGTGAGGCAGAACTAATAACTGTAAAGATACAGGAATATGGATAATGAAAATGGATAAGCTCCCTTTCATAAACATTTAAAATAAACATTTCTACAGCTGCATTTGGGTATATCCTCATCCTGTTTGCAAGTGCAATGAGATTAGCACATGACTTGCCTACTCAGTTGCACCAGATTGTACTGTATAATTTCCCACGCCATCTTGCTGTTTTGGGAGAGTCAGAAGCCTTTCTAATTGACTTGTTGACTTTTTGTTCATGCTCAGTCACTCTCTCTGGCTTCCAACCTGTCGTCTCCTTAGCCTGTCTCTAGATGTTGCTTTGTTTGGAATTTCCATGGCAGTAGACTGCGATGTCCTAACCATAAATTAAGAGTAACTAGTGAGAGCAGGGTTCTGTGAGAGAGAGTGTATTGCAGTCTCAGATATCATAATTGCTGCCAAGGAAAGATGCCTTGAAGCATAGCAGAGTTTGAAGGAAATGTTTTTTGCCCAGAATATTTGAATAAGCAATCTGAGATGTGAGGATTTTCAGTCACATTAAGAGTCTTGTGAAGCATACATCATTTACAGCAGAAAAACATGCAGCCCATGTACATGTTAGTAAACTAATTTTTCGAGAAAGTATGGGTGGAGGCTGAGTGACAATACCATATAGTGCCATTCAGCAGTAGTTTGAATCCATCCCTGATAAAGCTATTGCTGCTTAGTTTTGCTCTACGGTATATGAAAGAAGTTGGTAGTTATAGTCTAGAGCACAGTTTGCACTCACTGAGCCCCTGTTCTTACCAAAGAGACACAGGGATTGAAATTATCAATAGACAAAGATGATAGACACTTGTCCCTTCTTGCTCGAGATGAAGTATATTAGTGGGTACATGTGGCAGGACAAATTTCCTCTCACTATTTTTGCTGTTCCTGTTCCCTGAACAGATGGAGACTATCCATCTTCAGGACATGACACCCTCTTTTTCTGTACCTGTTTTGCACAGGTTATTTTCCCAGCATTATTCCCCACCAGGTGGTGTAAAGCCCACATCATTTTAGTAATACCCAACTGGCAAAGTAACAAAAAGTAGCCCTAAGATCAAGGTTGTTTAGGAAGTGTTGTTTAGAGTCCAGGTTTGTCACACCTAAGGACCTCTGTGTTTGAGTTTTAGAAGTAGCATCTCATTTCCTTTAAAAAAAAATACTAAAAGTAGTGTTAAGAACTTGAAATGTTCCCAGATGCCATACACGTCTAGTGGTTATATGACTTGGGGAGTTAAAAAAATCCTTCCTGGTAAACAGCGAAATATATGGTAACATAGTAACCTTTCATAACAAAATGGCTTTTACTGTTTATTGACAGCAGAGTTTCCATTGAATCACACATTTACCACCTGAGGACGTTACCACTGGAAAATGTTATAGTGCGAATGGAAAGAATCCAATAATCAGCCACTTGCTAGCAAATGCTGTTAGCAACTCTTGCTGAGCCCTCTTCTGCCAACTCATTTTGTATTCCTCACAAACTATAATCTTGGACGTCCATTGTTTTGTTTTTTTTTTCCCCTTCAGGCAATTCAGTTGTTAAATGTGACATTTAAATGCAGTAAATCTCCATGGATTGCAAGCTATTTTTATACATAATTATTTGCATAATTATTCATCTCATTATTGAGGTGGCTGAACTAGAAATAACTAAGATGAAGAAGACTGTTGTGTTGCATAGCCAGTAAAGTTGAGAGAGAGAAGAAAAGTAGTAAACATGGAGAAGGCAATGCTCTCGTAATTAGGAGTCTCAGCTCCTCATGTCTTTCTCTAAGTTATATTCTGTCCTTTAACAGTGATATATTGTGAGACCTTGAATCAGTCTGTTAAATTTTGCTTCAAAGTTTCCACTTGTGTAATTGAGGATAATCATGATTTAGATCCATCTTATATTGGGGGTAGAAGCATAATTAGTAGTTCAAAGTAGTGTGTGATCTTCAGATGAATGGCACAACGTTAAGCACATAGGATCTTGGTAATTGCTGTAGACTCTGAGCGTGGAACGATATTAACAATGCAATAGCTGCGGTTTACAGAGGCTGAGAGCTACTTATTTCATGAATTGCTGAAAACATAAACAATTGACATTGAACTTAAAACCCAATAGAAAGATTAATTGGATTCTTTAAACTGTACTAATAGACCTGGGAATGGAGAGCCATGCAGTGGCAGTATTATGCAAGTTCTTGCCTTTTACTGCTGTAGACCGCTTCAGATTCAGCGTGCTATTTAGCTACCAGTTCAAGTTGCTTCACTGTCTTTCAGTGCAGGCATTAAGTAGCCCTCCATCTCTGTTCGTCACCCATAGCATTTACTCAGAGACCTTGGAGCAGGTATAAGTTTTTCTGGTTTCTACATATTGTTATGAGAAGCCAGATTGCTCTAAGGGGCTAGAATGGCATTCAGACACAGTCAACACAACTCTGTGGAGAAGAGCTACATCTCTACTGCTCCATGGAATTATGTACAGGAAAAGGTCAGGGGCAGCCTGGTGTCAGTTGGCTTCATATAATTTATGCTGTTTTTGTCACACATGTAACAAGAATAGTAGCCTTTGTTTTTTCTCCACCATGGGGGGAGGGGGGGGGTTGTTTAACCTTTGCTTCTCCTTTTTGATTCTCTGTTCTGGAGACTTTGGCAATCTCTGCACTGTATTTTCCTTTCCCTTTGACTTTGTTTCACTGATTGCAGTGGCACCCTCTGCTGACCTCATTGAAGAAGCACATTGAAGAGGTCACCAGTCACACCTTCAACTCTCTCCTTTGCAATCTGTACCGAAACGAGAAGGACAGCGTTGACTGGCACAGTGATGATGAGCTGTCATTGGGGAGAAATCCTGTCATTGCCTCACTCAGTTTTGGTGCTACACGGATTTTTGAGATGAGGAAGAAACCCCCACCTGTAAGTGTAATCCTTTTTTTTCCCTCTTATTCTTGTCATTTACAGTAGAGGTCCGCAACTTTTTGTCTGCAACTTTTTGCTGCCATGGGCTGGAGTTTGCAACCTGCCTGCTGCTTGGGGCCACAGATCTCTGCCTTCCCTCTCAGAGTCCCCAAGCTGCCTGCGCTTACCCTTACTACAGATACCTGGCCCCTCTGCATCAAGAGTAACCACTGGCATGAGACAGCAGCAGGGAGTACTGTGGAGGGGGATGCTGCAAAGGTGTGGATGACACAGTACAACTGCATTCTGCCCAATCCCTTGTGCTGTATCCAACTTCTTCATGGGCTGGTTTTAGCCCATGGACCATAAGTTGCCAACCTCTGATTTTGAGCATGAACCTGGAGGTGTAGATAACAGTGCAAAAGTCCCATTAGCAGTAATGTATGCAATATTGTTCCCTCTGTTTGGGAATCCGTAGATTTTATAGTAATATAGTCTGTTTCAGCCACAACCCCCAAGCAATGTAGAATAAATTCTACATTGCTTAAATTATAAGATGAGCCCATGTTTTCAGGTTCAGATTTAGGAAAATCAGCCTTTTTCCTGAATGTAAGTTGATAACTATAGAGAAATGCCCTAAGAAAATCCCTGAGAGCAATCAAATAACACAGAGAAACACCCAAAAGAAGTTAAATGCACTAAAAATGCTTAAAACACCTACAGTGAAAACAAATCTGTTTGATATTTTTATTTCGTGTGCAAGAATCCTTCAAGTACAAAAGTCAAGATTGTTAGGGGTCTGATGGTAGGGTATCTCCATGTATAAGTTGTGTGTGTTTGAGGGTTTTCCTTTTAAAGGTTTGTTTGCATGAAAAAAATGGTGCCTTATAATTGAAACAATATGGTGCAGGAATTAATTTTTCTAGCTCTGAAATGCAGCTACTTCTGGGTAAGAATGTAACAGCTGCATAACAGTGCTCAGCCCTGGAGCATGTAGTGAAAACTCATCTTGGGGACTCCTGTGACCAGGATAGCAATCTTCCCAGTTAGCTAGGGATGAGCCTGGCATTTGGAACAAGCACTCCCATGGAGTGAGCACATGGGCAGAAAGGGGCTGTCATCAAGCAAGCCTGCAGCAGACTTACTGACAGAGAAGTACATATTTTTATAACCAGTTAAATGATGTTAAGCCTGTAAAATTTGGGGGTCAAAAGCAGCTCCAATGGAGCACTTGTATGCAAACAGCTTGGAGCAAGTCACATTCTGGCTCTGGTGTCTGTTAGGATTGAGAGAGAATGAACAGGGGACAATGGGGGGTAGGGGAGATCATTCTATTTTTTTCTGTGATGCCAAACTACCACATCATACTACACAAAATAAGTAGCTGTCATTGCTTGGGTGGGACATATCCCTGGAAAGCCCCTGATCCTGTAGGAAATAGTGTTGATGATTCAATAGATAGCACTTTCTCATCTGAGTCAGTGCTGTGTTAGGCAGTACTGTACATTCAGAAGGGCTGACTTTCCAGTTGAGCTGCAAAACTGAAATCCTGACTACGTGTGGCATCTTGGATTCCATGGTACATGAGTGAGAGCAAGAGCAACAGCCTGGTAGCTGGACCATATTCTGACTAAGCACTAAGTCTGCCACTGCAGGCTGTATCCCTGCCTGCCTTTCATTAGGCAGTGTTACTGTTATTGTGTATTCCTAAACTGCTGTTGCATTTCAGTTGTGAGAAGAATGTTTTGTATATCATTCCCAAATGACCATAAAGTGCTTTGCCATGAAATGTGTTTTCTACATGTAAAATGCTGCTGTTGACTGAATCAACTGAAGCAGAAAGACTTTTTGAAAACAACTCAGTTCTCAAGGAAAAATGCCTTTATTTACTTCAAGGAGGTAGGGTTCTAAAAGCTGCTCTTCAGTAAGTTCTCTTCAACCATTTTGTAGTGAACAGCTCTGTGTGAGGGCAGGAATTGTACATTAGTCACATTTCATATTCATTTTTTTCCCTTCACCTGTTTCTGAGTTCATTATTCCTCTGATGCTTGAGCAAGTGAGGTCACGCAGACTGGTACTTTACATCAGTGTCTACGGTATTTGTAAGTGCCACTGATGCTCTGATGACAAGATTGAGCCATCAAGAAAGTTGATTCCTCCAGGAAGCTGTTATTGGTGCCTGGATTAATTTCTAGATGTACAGATGTCAGTGTGGAAGTAGAAGTTGAGTTGGAAGCTAGTGAAATTCAGTGTAAACTGTGTAGTTTCCTTTTAAAATTTGAACACAATATCCTAAATACATACAACTGCTGAGCAAAGCTGCCATTCTGTCTTGCTTTGCAGCTTCTGGAAACTGGTGTCCTGGGGAAAAGGGGAGAAGGCAGCCCCTGCTACACCAGTTTGGCCACATCCTTTGACCTAGATAGCATAGTTTCTTATGCTTTACTCCAAATTGTGATTTCCTTATAGACACATCCTTTACGCTCCCTTCAGTATTTTTATCCTAAGGCTTCTGACCAGCTGTAAAGGAGGAGTATTCCTTTGGCTTTGCAACGAGGGTATTACTGGCAAGGTTAGTTGCTAGAAAAATACTTGAACTGTGTACTTCTTAGAAGCAGATCACAACATCTTCCTTACACCTCCTGTTTTTTCAGCCCCTTGTCAGCATGTCTGCCAAAGATCTGTTGTGCAATTTGTCTGTCAGGCTGATCTGAAACAGCCATGAACTTGGAGCAGATTTCATGACCTGTGTTCTCAGAGAGGTTGAGCTGGAGTAATATAAATGTACTAGGAGCACTGTTCTGTCTCTTTATTGAACCATTCACGTCAATGACTGATACGGTTAAGACTGTGAAGGAGATTCTCTATAAACTCCCAAAACGTATTTAGAAGTGGCCTTCTCAGAAGCTCCCCATACTAGATCTCAGCTCAATGTTCAGTACTTTTATAGAGGTTCAGCTTAGCTGCGAAAAGGGAAGTCTGAATAAATTTGAGTTCAGATAACTGAAAAACAGCTAGAAGATATAAGAATCAACTTCTGTGTTATTGTAACTCAGTTATAGGACTAAGATCAAGCCAGGTTTGTGGGAGATGATTAGGTAATTTTTTGGTAAGAAGTGAAGTAGACAAGTTTCTACTGCTCATTTTAGTTTAAGGAAAGGCTGTCTGGCCTTTACCAGGTTGCACCCACCTGGCCCAACAGAGTAGCTTGTGAGTTAGACTGTGTTGTGTCTGGTATGCCTACAGAGGATAACTTATTTTGGGATGCTGTCAGGAATCCTCTCTGCCATATTATGAAGCAATAGATTCCATTTACATGATTATAGTGAGTAAATTTTCCAGACCTGTATATGTGGAAATCTACTGAAACGTGTATGATAGATAAAGAAATAAACGAGCAACAGGAAAAAAAATTGTTGTTTACTCCTAAAATACAGGGGGTAGAAGGATGACTCGGTGAAAAAATAGGACAAAGGCTTTTTCCAAATATTGGACTGAAATGTATTTGATTAATATGGCGTATTCTTCTGATCTGAAAGTATAGTACAGTAGAAAATGAGGTTTGCTTAGCAAGTAATTTTTTTTTTTTTTTTTTTTTGGTGCACTAAGGTTACGATGCTTTTGCTACATGTGCTCACTAGGTGAGTTTATAGTTTTATTAGCCAATTGCCCATCATGAATGACAGAGTGTTTCAGGGAGTGTTTACATACCTCCACGCTCCCACCCCCAGCTCACCGTCTGGGGCTGGCCATGTAAACAGTCCCTCTACTGCTTCTACCACCTCCAGTCTCCAATGCCTTGGTCCCACCCCACCCTGCCCTCCCACCAACGCCTCCCGTGGAACAGCGGGACTTACCTGCCTCCCTGCCTGAGGAGGTGGAGTCCACGCAGCCAGTCGCTGCTGGCCCTCTGGGCTGCACATACACAGTTGCCCAAAAGCATTATGGACAAACAGACACACGCAGACAGACAGACAAAGCCCTTATTACATTAGAATTTTGGCCAAGCCAGATCAGGTGAAACCACTTATAAAATAGAGCTAGAGAAAATTTTATATTTGTAAGGGGGAGAGAGAACTCTTGGAGGCTCCTGGCTAAACGTTGGTCCCAGCTAGAGTGTTTTAAGGTATAATCCACAGAGCCAAGGTGACCCTTGAGTGGGTTAACATAAAAAGCATTCAGGCACAGGATTACTGTTTAAGTTTAATATTTTTTACAGTGCATTATACATATTCTTTGCAAATTTCAAAAACTGTGGTGTTTTGACTAGCCTACAGTTTTCCTGAGAGCTTGCTCTGACGCCAGAAGCTCTGCAAAGCAGGAGTTGCAGGAGCCACTGATGGAAATTATAGCCTTTCAAAAGGTACCATCAAAGAAGTAATTTTCATATTTTAATGTAATGTGCTATCCTCATTTCCTTCAGGAGAAGATACAGAAGTGGCTTTAGGCATTTGGAGACTGATTGTGCTCTGTTCAAAAGCAAGTTACAGGTCAGAGAATTTAGTCCAGGAAGGAGAAGGGGAATTCTGATTAATAGGCACAAGCATCCAATCCCAGTGTTGTTTGTCATCTCTTAATTTTGAGCGCAGGCAGAAGTGTTGCTCCCCGCTGTAACTGAGAAGGCTTTGCAGGAAGCGATCTGGATCTCCTGGAACAAACAGAAGTTCAATGTTGGTTCCAGGGTGGGGGAGATAATCTAGCTGGCGGCTGGGAGTCTACAGCCCATTTCCCCTAGCACCAGCTGCTCCTCTCTCCCAGCCTGTCTTTGTTTCAGAATGGGACGGGAGGGAAAAGGAGCAGAGGGAGCTCGTTCGGGGGGGGGTTCACCATCCAGTGCTGGAGGGTGGGGTGAGTTTTATTGGAGCCCCACCCCGAGGAAACAGCTCCTTGCTGGAGGGTCTTCAGTACACCCATCCCACCCTCCAGCTAGGGTTGAAAAAAAGCCTAGACCAAACTCGCTCCTTTTCCCCATTTCCATTCTGAAAACGGCTCAAGGCTGAGAGGCAGCGCAGACAAAA